GCTCTTACAAGGATTTAATAATACACTTTATTTTTAAAACTAGTACTATTTAATTTGTCCCCCACATTTTAGCGTAGGACCCACCAACATTGGGGTACTTTGAAAGCAGTGGTGGGCTTAACATCATATGGCCATATGGTGGAACTAAATCCCCATATTTATTCTTAGATAGGCAATTTAGAAGCCTTCTTTGTGTTGTATTTTTTATAGTCTGAGTGCGCCGCAACTATTTTTTTCATGTATGTTCCATGCCCACCAACAGCTCCTGCGCGGGGTGGGGTTTTCCCCCCAAACATATGAGTTTTAAAACAGCCTGCTGCCGTTTCCTCCTGGTGGTGAAGGTGTTACGTTGACCAGATGAGGAGGTGGTAGAGGAGGAGGAAGCAGAGTAGGAGGAGGAGGCAAAGAGAAATGCCCTGCAATCCTCGGTGGCAGAAGGACATGCGCCAAACTGCTATCCGCCTCAGGCCCAGCCACCACTACATTTGCCCAGTGTGCAGTTAGGGAGATATAGCGCCCATGCCCGTGCTTACTGGTCCACGTATCAGTGGTTATGTGGACCTTGCCACAGATGGCGTTGCGCAGTGCACACCTGATTTTGTCCGCCAATTGGTTGTGCAGGGAAGGGATGGCTCGCCTGGGAACCACGTACTGTGGGACAGCCACTGCCATCAGGTTTTTAAAACTGTCCATCTCCACCAGACAATATGACAGCATTTCAAGGGCCAGGGATCTCAGGTGAGTAGGGGGGGTACTTCCTCTTTCTCTCCAGTGATTATTTTTATTTGACTGCACCGCAGGCTGCAAATGTTCTATTTAGCACAAAAAAGTGTGATTTTTTTTTAACCCCTTAAGGACACGACATGTGTGGCATGTCATGATTTCCTTTTATTCCAGAAGTTTGGTCCTTACGGGGTTAAACCAACAATGTAACAGTAGTATTTAAGGGTTTTATTGGACTGCAAGAAATGCACCGCAGGCCGCAAAATTTACTATTTAGCACCATAAAAATGTGAATTTTGCAAACTGCGATATAACTACAGTATTTGAAGGTTCTATTTGACTCTCAGATATGAAGTGCACGCCCCGAATTTACTTTTTAGCACCAAAGAAATGTGAATTTTTCAAAGTGCCATGTAACCACAGTATTTGACGGTTTTATTTGACTCTCGGATATGAAGTGTACCGCAGGCAGCAAATGTAGTATTTAGCACCCAAAAAAATTGAATTTTTCAAACTGCGATGTAACCACTGTATTTGACGGTTCTATTTGACTCTCAGATATGAAGTGCCCGCTACAAATGTACTTTTTAGCACCACAAAAATGTGAATTAGTAAAACTACAATGTCACAGCAGTATGTGACGGTTCTATTTGACTCTCAGATATGAAGTGCACGCCACAAACACTGGCGTACATACCAGGGTCGCAGGGGTCGCGACTGCGACCGGGCCCGGCCCACCAGGGGGCCCGGCTGCCCCTGCGACCCGGTATGTAGCCACAGGGCCAGCCTCTTCCCCTGGGGGGCCCAGGAGCCGACCACCCCAGGGCCCCCCTGAGGCTGGCTCCCAGCGATGCCTGGAAGGGTTGCTGAGGGAGCACTCAGTGCTTCCTCTTCAGCTCCCTCGCGCACCGCACTGATGCCGGAGCCGGAAGATGACGTCATCTTCCGGCGCTGGCATCCCTACGCGGCGCGTGAGGGAGCTGAAGAGGAAGCACTGAGTGCTCCCTCGCGCGCCCGCCTGCCTGCCCGACCGGCCACCCGCCCAGGAGCCCCACTGGACCCCAGGGAATAATCCCCCCCAGCACTCCAAGAGGTAAGGAGGCTGGGGGGATTATATTAAAAAAAAAAAAAAAAAATCATGTGTGAGTGTTAGTGTGTGTGTTAGTGTGTGTGAGTGTTAGAGTGAGTGTGAGTGTTAGAGTGAGTGTTAGTGTGTGTGAGTGTTAGAGTGAGTGTGAGTGTTAGAGTGAGTGTTAGTGTGTGTGTCTGCTAGTGAGTGTGTTACTGTGTGTGTCTTACTGAGTGTGTGTGTGTTAGTGAGTCTGTTTGATGCATTTTGGCAATTTTGGACTTTGCCAATTCGGTTTGGTTCAGCACTTCCGAAATTCGTCAACTCGACACAATGGCAATTCGGACATTCGGAACCATCCGAATGTCCGAATTGCCGAAATTCGCCTGAATTTAAATTCGGACCGAAACGAATTGCACAGGTCTACTAACAATAAACATATTACAAACCAGCTGCTATCACACCAAAGCAAGTAAGGGGCCAGACACAAAATGGCAGAGGCAGATAATCATGAAGTAGAGAAGGATACTGAAATGAAAAGGGTGGTGTTTCCACAAACAGATAACTGCAAATCATACCAGATGGCAAGGGCTGTCTGTAAAAACTGGCAACTGTTGCAGAGAGACCTGACATTATCAGCTCTTATTAAAAATCCCCCTTTTATCAGCTATCGTAGGGGTGCAAGCCTGAGGGACATGCTCATTGACACCTGTAAGGTACAGGAAGCCAGTGTAAGGATCGACAGAGGGGTGAGGTGTGAGAGGAGAGAAAGATCAACCTGGCATACACCACAGATTGTCGGGGGGCAGTACGGCTTCTGGGGAGACCAATTAGGAGACAATTACATTAATCGATGCAGGAGATTACTAGAGCATGAACAAGCTCCTTGGCAGCTTCTTGCTGTCAGGATTATAATTGATCCAGCACACAGAATAGTATCACACCTAGGACTAAGGATAACCGGACCTTAGAATGGCCGGACTTAAAGTACGGGAGAATAGTCAAAATATTTGCCAAGGTCATGGACACAGAATGTGACACAACGATGAGGAAAGCCAGAAGTCAAGAATACCAGAAATTAGGGAAGTCAAAACAAAGCCAAAGTCAAATACCAGAAAAACACGATCAGGAACACACTTTCGGATAACCAGCTGGTGGAAACCAAGCCAGGGCACTGACCAAAAGGTAATTTGGGTTTAAATAACCCTTGTGAGGCTGTAATTGGTTGTCTCTGGCCTCTGACCCCAAAATGTGTGTGCACGTCTATGACGTGACATCGCACAAACGTTGGCGCCATCTTTGATGTGGGCGAAGGTGAGTTTCCTATTAAAACTGGAACTGCAGTTCTCTAGGAATGTCGTACTCGCCGGGGACTGGAACGGAAGGAGGTCGGGTAGCGGTTTTCTGCGACCAAGGTAAGTATACAATATCTCTGTTGGGCCGCTTTGTTTATGTGCGGCCATGCCGGCAGAAGAACAGGGAGCGTGACAGTACCCCCCACTTAAAGACCACCCACCAGGTGGGCAGGGCCAGACTTGAAGGGCAGTTTGGCATGGAAGGAAAGGATTTTGCGGCCCGCACGTACGTCTGAAGCAGAAACCCAAGAACGATCGGCAGGCCCATAACCATTTCAATCAACCAAATACTGCAGAGACCCTTGAGAAAATCTGGAGTTGATTATAGAGGAGACCACGTACTCCTGTCCAGAAACAACCAAAGGAGGGGGAGGGTCAGAAGGGGTGGTATACCTGTTGCAGATAAGGGGCTTCAGTAGGAATACATTGTGATAGAATGTATCTTGATTCCAAGGCTAAAGCTTATAGTTGTCATATAATGATATCCTATATTAAAATTGACTAACTTGGACTCTAGAAATGCTTGATGCTTAAAACGACACTTAAGACCATATATGTCTAGTTCCGGGAGCAGATAGCCCCCACCTGAGATGTCTCTTCTCAAATCATTCTGTTCTTTCTCTTTCTCTGAACTTATTTGTTATATGTACATGACGTTCATCCCTTTGTCTTATCTGTACTCCTTTTACCCTTTCACTCCCTTCCTACTACTGTCCTATGAGTATTTTCACTTAAGCACTTACTTTTTAATGTATAAAAACCCAGCTGACGAATAAAACGACAGAGGCTTATTTTGAATACCAACAGGTGTCTGGTGTCTAATTTGCGCTCCTACAAGTGCACTTGTAATAACAATTTGGGCTTCCTCTGAATATAACAAAAATCAATATTTGGATCTATATCAATTTGGTGCTGTGACCCCGGGATCTGCCCGTCAAAAGACTCGGACAGTAGCGTACAGGTGGACATCCCTCTGACAGCGAAATCAGCTGCAACGAGGAAAGGAAAAAAATGTTTTCTACCTTTATCAATTTTGCTATCAGATCCATGTCCTACTGGTCTGTCTGGGTAAGGAATGACTTAAAAACGTCTGATCTAAAGAATTTGTTTTCTGTGATATTATGGTTACAGGGGCGGACTGACCGGTCGGGCACTTCGGACATGGTCCGAGGGCCCGGCCGGGAGGGGGGCCCGCCGCCAGGGCCGCCTTCAGGGGGCCCGGCGGCAGTGCTGGATTGGGGGCGGCATTTGGGCACTTGAGAGGAAGGTGCCACCGGGTGGCCGGCCCGGTGGCGCACTGTGAGGGGGCCGGCCGTTTCATGCTGGAGCCGCCGGACCGGGTGGCAGCCTCGCCGGTCCGGCGGCATTCCTCTCACTAACGCTGAAGGAGGAGGAGGAGCATGTGTCTGTCATGCTCCTTTGCGGCAATAGAGATATGGGGAGGGGGGAGAACAGAGAAGTGGGGAGGGTGGAGAAAGAGGGAACAGGGGAGGGAGTAGAGAACAGAGATATGGGGAGGGAGTAGAGGGGCAATAGAGATGGGGAGGGAGGAGAAAGAGGGGGCAATAGAGAGATGGGGAGGGGGAGAAAGGGGGGGCAATAAAGAGATGGGGAGAAAGAGAGGGAAGAATGAGACACAGGGGGAGACAGAGAGGGAAGAATGAGACACGGGGAGAAAGAGGGGGAATAGAGAGATGGGGAGGGGGGAGAAAGAGAGGGAAGAATGAGACACAGGGGGAATAGAGAGATGGGGAGGGGAGAGACAGAGAGGGAAGAATGAGACACAGGGAGAAAGAGGGGGAATAGAGAGATAGGGAGGGGGAGAAAGAGACAGAGAGGGAAGAATGAGACACGGGGAATAGAGAGATGGGGAGACAGAGAGGGAAGAATGAGACACGGGGAGAAAGAGGGGGAATAGAGAGATGGGGAGGGGGAGAAAGAGACAGAGAGGGAAGAATGAGACACAGGGGGAATAGAGAGATGGGGAGGGGGGAGACAGAGAGGGAAGAATGAGACACGGGGAGAAAGAGGGGGAATAGAGAGATGGGGAGGGGGAGAAAGAGACAGAGAGGGAAGAATGAGACACAGGGGGAGAAAGAGATGGGGAGGGGGAGAAAGAGACAGAGAGGAAGAGAGATGTGGGGGAGAGAGAGACAGGGAAAGGGGGGAGAAAAACAGTGGAAGAGAGGGAGAAAGAGGCAGAGGGGTAAGAGAGACTGGGAAGGAGGGAGGAGAAAGAAACATACAGAGGGATGGGGGGAGACAAAAAGGCACACAGAAGGGCTGTATATATCACTGGTGGATCCAGGGGGGCAACAGGGCAATTGCTCCCCCTCCCCTGTCCGCAGGCACCGTGCGGGCAGGGGAGGAAGGAAGAGAGGACCTGGGAGCTCACCCTGCAGCTCCTCTGGGTCCTTCTTGCACGAGCACAGAGCGTTGCCGCGATTACCATGGCAACGTTACCGCTCTTGCGAGAGTCAACTCTAGCCCTGGAGCTACGGTCTAGTGTTCACTCTCAACACTGTGACCCCCAGGGATTCCTGGTGGTCGCAGTGGTGAGAGTGAACTCTAGCCCCATAAACACACTGCCCCCCCACACACACCATACACATTCACACACTGCCCCCATACACACCATACACATTTACACACATTGCCTCACACACACACATACACTGCCCACCCATATACACACAGACCCCATACACAGCCCCCCATACTAACATTGCCACACACATACACAGCCCACACACCCTACACATTCACACACTACACCCCCACACACACACTGAACCTTTCACACACATTGCACCACTGCTCCTATTCCCTACTACAGCCCCATATCCCAGCAGATCCCAGGTAAGTTGTCAAACTGTTCTTAAATGGTTTGACTACTTACTCTGGAGCAGTAGTGGTTATTGTGCATGGATTATTTATTTAAATAATCTACAAGTGCCCCAGTAGCCAGCCAGCCAACCCACAGGCTGGCCAGTAGCCAGCCAGTTAGCCAGCCCACAGGCCAGTAGCCAGCCCACAGGCCAGTAGCCAGCCCACAGGCCTACAGCAAGCCACAGGCTTACAGCCAGCAAGCCCACAGCCTGCCAGTCGCAGCCAGCAAGCCACAGCCTGCCAGCCGCAGTCAGCAAGCCCACAGCCTGCCAGCCGCAGTCAGCAAGCCCACAGCCTGCCGGCAGTAGCCAGCAAGCCCACAGCCTGCCAGCCGCAGCAAGCAAGCCCACAGACTGCCAGCCAGCAACAGTAATTAAGGTAAGAGGAGCCAACTTGGCCTAGGTATCAGCGAGCTATGTTGTGTTGCTATATTGTGAATAGGAACCAGAGTGTTGGAGAGACCACCCTCCAGGCCCCATTAGACTCCATTGTAGTCTCTAATGGGGCCTGGAGGAGATTCTTTCTAACACACTCTCTAAAGGACACTGAGATAGCCTCTGCCAGAAATCCCCTCCATGGCCCATTAGCCCTCAATTGTAGTCTCTACTGGGGCCTGGAGGCGACTGTTTCCAGCAGGGGATATCTAATGGACGCTGAGATGGCCTCTATTAGAAAGACCCCCTTCCAAGCCTATTAGACTCCATTGTAGTCTCTAATGGGGCCTGGAGGGGATTCTTTCTAACACACTCTCTGTCTAAAGGACACTGAGATAGCCTCCGCTAGAAAGACCCCCCTCCATGGCCCATTATCCCTCAATTGTAGTCTCTGCTGGGGCCTCGAAGGGCTTATTGCCCTTTTGTTCCTTGTGTCTAAAGATTGTGTAGGGTGTGGCTGGAGGCGGTGCATGGAGGCGGGACAAGGGTGGCGCTTGCTGCAGAGTATGGGTGGGGCCTGTCAGGGGGCCCTTGATTTATTTTGCCCGGGGGCCCTGAGGGTTCTCAGTCCGCCCCTGTATGGTTATATTCAGGTGGATGTTGTTATGTCTTGTGAAAGGAATCTTGAGATAGTGGAATATATCTGTGGCTTTTAAGTTAGTTTTATTGTTTGCCTTGTCATTTGTTTTATAATTTGAGTTAGAATCCTCCAAGGGCAGATCTCCTGATCTGTGTTTAGAATAACGAAGACAAGACTGTAAAAATTCCACTGCAGTGGTCCTAAGTGTCTTATACACTGTTTTTGTACAGTTTGTCTTGCGTAAGGAAGTAATTAACCCATACAAGTTTTAAGATGGGTAGCTCTCAAAGCACTCAAGGGGGATTTATGGCTTTGACTATTGTCAAGCACCACAAAGGACAAGGAGCAATTAAGAATGTGAAGAGGTTACTTAAGAAAGTTGACATGCCCTCAGAGGGCACTCTAGACCAACATTTATGGGGTGAATTTATTGCAAATTACAGAGGTTGGTTAGAAGATAATGACTTAGTAGAAGTCGCCCAAAAATGGCATGATACTGCTGTTGAATTAACTAAATGTGGTTGTAGAGAAACCACCAGAAAAGGTGTACCATATTATCAATGTTTTGGACCTCTAGGGTCCCAGAGTAGGCAAGATCCTGGGAAAAATCTTGTAAACCCACCCCTTAACCAGGATAATGCAGGGACTCCTTTGGTCCCTAAAGACCAGGCGATTTCCCTTTTATGGAGATCAAAACCTCTCTTTCCAGTAATATTACGCAGTGGAACTTCATATGGTTCCCAAGCAGCCCAGTAAGACCTATTGGTTCATTAGAGGAGGAGGGTAGTCCACCAGACTTAAGGGCACCCCTAGTTGCCCCCATAGACACCCCAGTGGGGCCATTAGCTCCCATAGTTGAGAGTGTATACCATGAGAAGAGTAAGCCGAACTCAGGTTTCCAATACTGGGAAGAATATAAGCTCTGGGCACCCAGTAAACAACTGGTAATAACACAGCAGCTGCCAGATGTTGAAAAGGCCCCCTTAGCTCTAGTCCTGTCTCTATCCACCATTCAAGCTACTTACCAGTGTACTTGGATGGATTTAAAACAGATTGTTGCCCTAAAAGCTGGCCCATTTGGGCTAGAACAATTGCTAAATATACTGATGCACATGAGGATAGCCTCAGAAGAAGTAACATGCAAACAGATGAATGGTTTAGAACCAAGTCTGCATCTGATATGTCACTGCAATGAGAGAATGGGCTAAAGTAAAGACTGAAGAACTAGCCCATAAATTAGGAGATCTAGTACAAGGGAAAGATGAATCTGTGGCAACATACTTCACCAGACTACAGATGGCTTGGGAAGCATTGGGTTATGCTGATATAAATGATCTTAAAATAGGCATTGAAAGCCATGTATCAGTGTTTGCAGATGACACAAAACTTTGTAAAGTAATAAAATGTGAGCAGGATATTGCCTTCCTGCAGAGGGATTTGGATATATTGGGGGACTGGGCAATAAAATGGCAGATAAAATTTAACGTAGAGAAATGCAAAGTTATGCACTTCGGGGTTAAGAATGCACAAGCAATTTACACCCTAAATGGTAGTGAGCTAGAGATAACCACACACGAGAAGGATTTGGGAATTGTTATAGACAACAAATTAGGCAGCAATATGCAATGTCAATCTGCAGTTGCTAAGGCCAGTAAGGTTTTGTCATGTACAGTCAGGTCCATAAATATTGGGACATCAACACAATTCTAATCTTTTTGGCTCTATACACAACCACCACAATGGATTTGAAATGAAATGAACAAGATGTGCTTTAACTGCAAACTTTCAGCTTTAATTTGAGGGTATTTACATCCAAATCAGGTGAACGGTGTAGGAATTACAACAGTTTGTATATGTGCCTCCCACTTTTCAAGGGACCAAAAGTAATGGGACAATTGGCTGCTCAGTTGTTCCATGGAGATAATATGGAGACTTGTATTGTAAACACTCTTTCCTTGCTGAAATTCTTGGCAAAAGCAGGCTGCAAATCGACAAAAGCGAAACTAAATGCATGTGTAGAAAAAGTAATTTTCCTAGGACATTGTATTTCCCATGGCACAAAAGATCTCACGGAAAGTAGAAAGACTGCAGTTCAAAATATTAAACCCTCCCGCAGCCTCACCCAGCTGCATACATTTTTAGGTTTAGTTTCTAACTGCCAACCTTGGATACACTCTGCAGCAATCTACATGCAACCCCTGTATGATTGTCTCGCCAACGAAAACAAACCATTTAAATTAACCCATGCGGCAGAAAATGCCTGTTACACCTTTAAGTTACTGGTGACATCAGCTCCGGCACTGGGTCTTCCAGATTACAGAAGGGATTTTAACCTGTTCTGTACTGAGCAATGGTGGTAAACAAAGACCAATAGCATAATACTTCATGGTGGTAAACAAAGACCAATAGCATACTACTCCACCAGATTGGACCCTGTTGCCAGGGGTGCCCCCTCATGTGTTAGGGCAGTGGCGGGCATAACCCAGTGAACATATACACACTGCATGACATCATGCTAATATTTACACAGACTCTTGGTATGCCTTCGGTATAGCCCATAATTTTGGTCTTATATGGTGGGCTCGTGATTTCTCACCTCAGCAGGAACTCCAATCAAGAACTCTGAAGCCGTGATTGCACTTATGGACGCTATCCTGCTACCCACTCAAGTAGGCATCATCAAGGTGGCAGCTCACGTGAAGATCACAGATGAAATTACAAGAGGAAACCACAAAGCAGACGAAGCTGCCAAGCAAGCAGCAATCCAAGTACATCCTTCTACAGGTAATACCTTCCTACAAGTTGTTCTTCCAGATGATGCTGTTGACTACAATATACTGCTGAGCTTACAAAGACGGGCAAACAAGGAAGAACATGACCTTTGGAGGAAACAAGATTCAGAACCTGATGATGACAGAATGTGGAGGAAAGGTAAAAGACTGTGTTTGCCACGAGTCTTGTACCCCATGATGGCCCAGATGGCCCATGGACCTACACATCTATCCAAGATGCACATGAACCGCATAGTAAACACCCATTGGGTAGAACCCGGATTTACTGTTGTTGCAGCTAAACACACCCAAGCTTGCATGATTTGTGCTAGGAACAATCCAGGACAGGCTCTCAAAACACCAAGTAAGCATACACAAAGGCCACTTTACCCGTTTCAAAGACTGCAGAT